AATCAAACTTTGTGCGACCTGCCACTCTCTGTCTCTCTTCCTCCCTCCACCCCCCCCGACTTTTTATGAATATATTAGAACACAACTCTTCACCACGTTACACTAAATAACTCTTCCATAATAACTGCCAGTCTTGTGCTGAGCCAGGTCTCCAACACCGAGTGATTGATTTCAGGATAGAGAACACAGGCTAACATAGGGGTTGATTCCTGCATAAATCAGGAAGAACAGGGAAGCCCGCCTCTGCGTGCACACCTACTTCTGAAGCCACCAAATATGTGGTTGGCCCTTATCTGTTTTTATTAGAACTATAAATCAGAATGTCCCTCCCTCCCTCTCACTGTGTGTGTGTGTCTGTCTGTCTGTCTGTCTTTCTGGCTGTCTGTCTTGGCTATCTCATGTCAACCTTGGGCAGAATGAATCTCCATTCTGATTGCTGGCCTGAGTGATTCATGATGGTCAGAAGGGGGAAAAAAAAAACTAGGACTCCCAGACGAATCTTACATTGTAATTGTCACCTGACCAAAGAGCATTGATTGGAATTTCAAGGCTAAGCAAACACATAAACTACCGTTGGATGTGCTGTTTTCATCATTAGAAGGTTTTGTATCTTTTCCCCCCTATGAATAATACACCCTTGAACAAGGCTTTGGCCCCACCATAGCTCCTATAAAAAACAGTTTATATTTTTGGCTTATTTTCTCTTTTTTAAAGTCAAATTTTAATAATTAAATTACATTTTTATTAATGAGCAATAATTGTGTATTTTTATAAACTACAAGGTGATGTTTTGTAGAAAGATCAAGTCAAATAGTTAACATACCTGTCAGTTCACCAGTATATTTTGTTAAGAACATTTAAAATCTATCTAACCGTTTAAAAACACGAGTGCCTATTATTAATTGTGATCACTACACTCTGCAAAAGAATCCTTTTAGCTAATGGGAATGTGCCTGTGGTAGACCTTTCACTATTTTAAAACAGACACTGTGACTATTGTGACTCTCTGCCTGAGTCTGCACTCTCTGTGTGACTATGTAATGAGCTAATGCCTTGCATTCTGTGAGTCTTCATGTATAAAGTATAGCAATGCCTGTCTCCTGGGAGTAATTATTTCCTGTAGAATTCTCCATAGCATAGTTACCACTGGGATGGAGAGAAGGTTCTGGTTAAGACCACAGGCTGCTCTTGCAGAGGACCCAAGTTCAGTCCCCAGAACCCACACTGGGCAGGTCACTACCATTCACCTGTAACTCTAACTCCACGGTGACCCAATCCCTCTGGTGTCCAAGGGCACCTGCACCCGTGTGCACACACCACGCACACACACATGCGCACACACATACATACATATGCATAATTTTAAAAACATTGAAAATGAATCTCTGCCAAAAAACAATCACCATTATTATCTATGTATTTGATATCATAATCGTATAAGGAACAATTTTCTATTCTTTAAAATATGACAATATGAATATTCTTTCTTATTATAATTTTCCATCATAATTTCCAGTGATTTTTCTGTCCGTTACTGATGAGTCCTTAGACGGTTCTGGTTTTCTACTATGGGAAAGTGATTTTGGAATGACAGGTTTAGACTCTTTCCAGTTTTCTTTCTTTCTTTTTTTTTATTTTTTTATTAAGGCAGATTTCCAGATACAGGTCAAAGAACGCGAACAGTTCAGTGTTCACGAGATGACTGTGAGGTCACTCCATACAAAGACCCCATCGATTCCCAGCAGCGGTCACGATGTGGGAAGGTAGCAAATCCACTGCTTCTGGGTCAGCCGCGAGCCCCGTGGTCTGGCCTTTCTGTAGTGAAGTTGGACTTTTCTTTATGCTTGTCCGCTGCTCTGCCTTGTGAATGTATTTGCGGCCTCTTATTTACTCCTAAATAGTAAGCTTTCAATTCTTCTCCCACCGGTGAGTACTTCTGAACCGTCTGTCTATAAGGAAAGGGTGCGTAGCTGTCTGCTCCTTGTACTTTCCGCCATGCCTTCACCCACAGACCTCAGTTTTTCGTGGAAAACAGACAGCCTGCCTCTTGGTTTGCCCTCATATCCGTGCAGCTACTTTTAAAAGTCACAAACACACACACACACACACACACACACACACACACACACACAAAGGGCCTGGCTTCCTGTGTGTGCTCTTAACGCACTGGGTGATTGCACACGCAGAAGTGGGTCCCTGGCCACCACGAAGCATGGTGCTTCATCTCACCAGCCTGAGAAATGAAGACAACCATGTCTGGGCTTGGGTGTCCTTGCACAGCCTCCTGACCCAGCCCGAGTTCCACCCTCCTTAGGACAGCGCAGCCCCACAGCCCAGAGTTCTCTGCAAGGGGACGGACTAATGTCTAGTTTTCACCCTCCGTGACATTTTTGAAGAACCGAAGCACAAGGGGAGTCTTCCGGGCTAATTCCGCTGGTCTTTAGAGCACCTCCGAATACCAACCTCACACTTGCTAACGGAGAATTTCCTTAAGGATGATGAAGGAAGGAGTCCGGGACAGCTCAGCTCCGCTCAGCTGGGGACCCCGAGATCACGTGATCCTCCGGGCAAATGCAGTAGATCATCCACTGTCAGTAGATGACAGACAAGCCCGGAGGAGAGAGGTGCCGGATTCTGTACACATTCCCCACTTGCCTAGAATAGCAGTTCCCCGACGGTAAACTGTGGAGCGGTGCCTGGGAGAAGCACCTGTCTGCATGCTGGCAGTAGCTCCCTGCAACTGCTGGGTGCCTAGAAAGCATATATTCTCCTCCTGGGTTTCCTTACGCCCCCCCTTTTTTTCCTATAAAGGTAACCTAGTAATTAAACAGGGACCCCTATGAGCATTCTCTGTGTCTTGGGCAGTCACGCACCTCTGCCTTAGCGTGCCTCCACCCCAGAACATATATATATATATATATATATATATATATATATATATATATATATATGGTAAAGTAAAGCTTCGGACTGTGGTTTAATTACACCTGGCGTCGACTTGCAGATGTGCTGTTTTGGCGCTTTTTAAAATCTTTGATGTTTAAACACTCTTTAGAATTTTGGGTGTTAAATTTTACTGTGGGGATAAAAAAATTGTAATGATCAGCCCTACTCTAGTTCACTAGGTTATTGGTTGAGCTGGGCAGGTCTCTGGTCGCAGAGATGTAGGGGAGTATCTTTGTCTATTTTTGTTCATTTTAAAAATCCTAGTAGGCATTGCCGGGCAGTGGTAGCGCACGCCTTTAATCCCAGCACCCAGGAGGCAGAGGCAGGCGGATTTCTGTGAGTTTGAGACCAGCCTGGTCTACAAGAGCTTGTTTCAGGACAGGCTCCAAAGCTACAGAGAAACCCTGTGTCGAAAAACCAAAAAAAGAAAAACAAAATAATTTGGTGTTGTTGAGATACTGCTGGTTTGCTTGGTACAGCTCATGTTTCACCCATAGTTTGCATATAGATGAGTAACAAGTAAATTTATCATAGTGACTTGTTTTTATTACTTCACTAAATAAATACTTTATTCTATGTTAAAAATAAAAACCTTGGTAGAGGGGCTGAGATGGTCCAGATCCCTAGCGCCCCCAATAGGTGTAGTGATGTATACACGTAACCCCAGCACTAGGGATGAGTCAGGGTAACAGATCCCAGGGGCTCAGTGGCAGCTAGTCTAGTTGAAACATTGAGCTCTAGGTTCAGTTAGAGATTCTGTCTCCAAAACAAAGACAGAGGACTAGAGAGATGGCTCAGCATTTGCAGAGACCCCAAGATGGTTTCCCACCACCTACTTCAGGCAGCTCACAACTACCTGTGACTCCAGCTTCCAGGGACCCTGACGCCCCTGGTCAATGCAGGCATCTGCCCTCGTCTGCACACCCCCTGCACAAAATCACACACACACACACACACACACACACACACACACACACACGTGTAATTTAAAATAAAATGGATATTTTTTTAGAATATGATGGACAATGATAGAGGGAAACCTGCAAACATCAGCCCTTCTGGTCTCTATGTGCACAGGAGGTAAGAGTAACATACAACACACACACACACACACACACACACACACACACATGTGCACATACACACACAAAACCTGGACAGAAAATTTTCATGTTCCCTTATAACAGAAAAAAATCATTGGGTAAATGGATAAGTATGGAAGCACATTAGAATTCTAAGTTCTTTTAGAGGGGAGAAAGAGCACATTCGTTTCATAAAACCTAACTGTTTTTTGTGTCCGTTTCTGCAGCTCAATATGTGCCATATACTTTAAGTTTTTATTACAGTTGTGTCCTTTTGGCTGGGAGCAACGAAATTATTTCCCACGTGACATTTCTCCCCACTTCCTATGAAAGCTAGATTATTTATGAAGCTGTGGCTTAGCAACAAAGGAAAAGGAAAACCGTCCCTTCCAGCCTCCAGGGAAGCGGTGTGCATGAGTCTTGGGCAGAGGAGGACACGCCCGTGTCTACGCTGGCTCGACGGTAACACCAGCCTCCTTGCAACTTCAGTCTTACACGGACGACGTTCAGGACTAAGTAACTATCCCTATTATTCTGTGTTTTCCTCACTCCGTGAAAGCGGTTTCCCATCTTACTGTGACCCTTGGCTGTGAAACCACCATTTCCAGGGCTGCAGAAATTTTACATACATTTTGTACCTGCATTAAGCTCAATTCGTAATTTAATAGGCTTAATTTGATAATTTGATATTCACATGTGTCTGTAGAAAATCTTGCTTTAGTGTTTTAGAGCCAAACCACTCAATTAAATACATACTCGGTCAACTTCCATTTGAAAGCATAACCTGCCCAGGAAGATTATGCAAGAGAGTCGGGGTAGGGAACACATGAGCATCTCAGCTTATTTAAAGAAAATTAAAAACCTTGTTATTTTGTTTTAAACAAGTCACCAGAACACCAGGCATAGTCATATTCAAAATATGACCTGTGACATCCACATCATGGGTCATTATAGACATTAAAATTATCTCTGTGAAGAATTTTTATTGACCTAGCAAATTGCCACTTCCATAGTAACTAAGAAAAGCATGTTTTATCATTTGTTCTGAGAAGGTAAACATATCAACTGCAGTTTTCTCTAGACAATAGTACTTTCAGAGAGAAAAAAAAACAGCATAATTTTTTATTGACTCTTCGGGAATTTCACATCATACACCCGAATCAATCCCACCCACCCATCCCCCCAGTCCCTACATATCTGCCACTCACCCCTACCGCACACCCTCCAAAGGGAAACCCAAAAAAGAAATAATAAAAGTAAAACAAAAAAAAAACACAAACAAGAATATCAACTAAAAATCAAACAAATGTAAAAAATCCAAAAGAAAGAACAATTTAAAAAAAAAAACAAACCTCTCCATCTTTCCCTCCTTTCCATCACCTCCTCATTCACCTTAGTGGCACTGGGAGCTGCTGTGTGTCACACAGTAGGCCCCTTCGTCCAAACACCTTCACTTGCAAACGTTCGTTGTGCAATGGGTTGTTGGTCTGACTCAAGGCCTCTGGCCGGTACATCATCAATACTGGACCCTCACGGAAACTCCTCTCAGATCCTGCTGCTGTCCTGAGTCATGGAGATCCACCCTGTGGCTAGGGTTCCACAGGGCCAGTCCCTTCACGTGCTCCAGCAGGTCACGGATGGGGTACATGTTGGGGTGGGCCAGCTCAAAATCCTGAATGTGGGTCTGGTGGATGGTAGCAGAGTTGGTCAGTCTGGGCCTCTGGGACCACCACCCCCTGCCCTCCACCACCCTACCTCCCCACCCTCCCACCCTACCCCTCGCCAAGCAATGTGCAGAGCAGGTCTGGTGTGGCCCTCCTATTCCAACACATGGCTCAACACAGCATTCACACAGGTCCCTGTGGTAGCATGGGCAGTGGATATCAGTGGTGACCCCAGCTGCAGCAGGACCTGTCACTGTGGACCTGGGTGACGGCACAGGCCTCTCAGATCATCATGGGGTCCAGTCGCAGCGTGGTTCCCATGGTTCCCAGACTCCAACATGGCCCCGGTGGTGACCCAGACCCCAGTAGTTCCACAGCCTTCAGTGGTAATGAGCAGGCACAGACATCAACACAGTCCCTGGCGATGGCAGGGCCATGGACCCAGATGTTGTCCATTGCCCCTGGGGCCACAGCTTGGGCCGGACATCACCACAGCCCCAGATAGCAGATCAGCATCACCCTGGCTGCAGGGTTGCTCTAGAACACCAATATGGTCCCAGGTGGTGGCCCAGATCCCGGACATCCACATGGCCTTCAATGGCAATAGACACCCTGGGTATTAACACAAACCTGGTATTAACATAAACACAGGATAATAGTGTTTTTTGCTTTTAGTGTTTCTTTTTTATGAAAACATTTCTTTCCTCTGTTTTCACTTTTAAAAACTCAGCCAAGTTTTTAAGTAAAAATTTTAAGTCCAGATTACACTGTGCATCTTTTTTTTTTATGATTGCAATTTTGAGTTCTCCAATGCCTGCGTTCGTCAGGGAATGAGTCCACAAGCAGAATGGCACAGATGTCAAACTGCCCTCCTTGACCAGAGCCCATAGCAGCAGCAGGCCCTGGCTCAGCTGCGGAAGTCCAGCGGGATGAGTCATTCTTGGAAGAGGAAGACACACGACGGAATAGAAGGGATGAAGACAATAAAATAAGTCCCAGATAAATGAAAAAACTACATACAGACCCCATCCCAAGATAAGACTAGAGTGCTCAGCTCAGTCTGGACCTAGAAGTGATCTAGAATCCAGAGTTGATCACAGGATTGTGGAAATCATAAGCACAAAAGCGCATGGTGGGTCTGGGAATTGTTATTACGTATTCTAGAAAGGGCAACGCACAAAACGGAAGAGAAATTGAGGGCAAACGTGAGGGAAATCACGGCTGTCATCGAGGGCGCCAAGGCCAGCAGCTCTGGCCCCTTGCCCTGTAAATACCAAGAAGTCACTAGGGATTTTACATGAACTTTGCATCTTAGGGAGATCCTCCTGATGGTGTGGAGAGGGGAAGAGAACCATGTCCAGACGGATTTCTATCGCGCTACTAAGCATGAGCAGGGACAGTGACAGGTGACAATGAGCACGGAGTGCAATGCAGACTTGGGTCCAGCAGCCTGCTGGGTGTGGCCTGTGAAGGAGAGAGCCAGGAGGAACCCTGGACGAGGAGGCTCGGGAGGGTGCTGGGGTTGACGGCTCTAGTGTGGGAGAAACTTTAAACAGACATTTTAATCGGTCTCAGTTTTCTTCGCTCTCCTCCTGCCTTCTCCTCCCTTTCTAGCTCTTCCTGTCTTCTTTTTTGTTTGTTTGTTTTGTTTTTGTTTTTTCGAGACAGGGTTTCTCTGAATTGCTTTGGAGGCTGTCCTGGAACTCACTTTGTAGACCAGGCTGGCCTCGAACTCACATCGATCCGCCTGCCTCTGCCTCCTGAGTGATGGTATTACAGGTGTGCGCCACCAACGCCCGGCTTCTCTTCCTGTCTTCTATTTCATCCCTTCTCTCCTCCTACCTCCCTTCCTTTTCCCCATCTCTCCCTCTTTGCCACACGTTCACTCAGTAAACTTACGAAGCCTCCCTGTAACCAGGCGCTCCCATCACTCTTGCTCAGCTCCATCATGGAAGGCAATCATTTTTTTTTACAGCCACAGCCGCCAAAGTGTCTCTACTCAGGAAACAGCAAGTAAAGCAAAGACGTGAAATGCTTAACTTCTTCCATAGTGACCTGAATAATACATGGTTTTTATATTGGCACTACCACTAACGGCCGTTTTCTTTGTAGGTAGTGCCGTAATTTCTGCTATATTTCTAAGAGAAAATCTGAGAGCCTCGGATTTACTAGGTGAGTAACCATTTAATTCATCCAATTATAGCACCTCTTGACCGATAAATAAATACCACCTATAAAACTGCATACTTGAAAACAGAAATTTAATGAGATGGCTACAAAGCTCACTTAGGGGTGAGCCTTCTGGCTGGGGAGACACTGTCTCTCCTCATACAGCTCTCATTTTCATGACGCTACTGCTAGCCATTAGCTGTAGCAAAGTGTTGTTTTGCTATATTGTTACTGCTCATGTTGCGATACTTTAATGAACATAATAAAATTCAGGGAAAGCATCTGTGTTACCTATTAGAATCTTCTACTTAGAAGTTCATATTATGTTTACACTGCCTTAAAGTCAAAGTCACCAAGTATTGGCGCCACCAAATGAGCACCTGTTTTATTTATAGCACCTTCCAAAAGTAACAGAAATTTTCTCTTCAAAACGTTGTTCGGAGGGGCTGAGAAGATGGCTTAGTGGGTAAAGTGTTTTCCCTGCAAGCATTAGGACCTGAATCGGATCCCGGCACTCACAGAAAAGCCTGGCTTGGTGGTTAAGTGTCTGAAACCTCAGTTCTGGGGATGCTGAGGAACCAGAGAGGCTCTTGGGGTCTTCCCAGCCAGTCAGTCTAGCTGGAGGGAAGCCAGTTAGGCTGGTTCCAGTGATATCCTGCCTTGAAAAGTAACCTAAGGCTCGGGGAACATGGCAGAGGAGGCAGAAAGACTGTAAGAGCTAAGAGCCAGAGAATTGGGGAGTTCGCCATAAGGTTCTGTCTCCCAGTCATATCAGAAGCTACACATTGAGTCTTACCTACATGACTGCCCAAACACCAACTGGAACAAAGACAACAGTGACAGACATGCCAAAGCAGATGGGGAAATCCCACAAAAAGGCGTGTAGTACATGAAGAGCTACAGGCAAGGAAGGAATGCTAAGAGCAGAATAGACACCCCCCCCCAACTCGGGGGAGAGCACAGTAACTAGTTATCCCGTGCTAAATAATCAGTCCCGAGTATGGGTAGCATAGAGACTGGGCAGGTTATAGTTAGGGAAATGCATGCGTGCTCTGATGCATATGAGCACGCAATAACGAGTAATGAAAAAGAGGCCATGAATTTGAAAGAGCCCAAGGAGGTGAGGGAGCAACATTGCGATTTTATTATAAGCTCAAAAAAAAAAAAAAACCGTGGACGGCCACAGGCATACACCGAGTGTAAACAAACATTTCGAAAATAAAAAAGGGAGTAAGTCTCTCTCTTTGGGAGTACGGTTATTACTGGGAATTAGCAGTGACCTCACTAGTTAAATAATATGGCAAGGCTTTCTTGGTATGCATGTGTGTTTTTTCACTTCTGTGGGAAGATAGTTCATGAGAACTGTAGACGTCCATGTCTTTTCCTTGACAAAAGCCCCCTTCACTTCTGCTGACATATGGTAATGGACACAGATACTTTCGGCATTTTAAACAATGCCTGCCCTCTTCCAGGGAGTTTTGTTTTTTTCAGCGTGAGCTCCGAATCTGACACCAGTGTTGGTATGTTTAGCGTTTCTCTCCCGGCCCCTGATCCTGTTTCTCTTGAGCATAACGTCTTGAAAGTGTCTTCACTTTTTCCTCTCCTCTTTGGTTTGATCCTGCTGGTAGAGTTTAGTCAACACTGTCAGATTTTTCATGGTTAAAAATGTTTTTCCAAATGCATTCATATGTGATTGTATCTTCTCCAACGTATCATTTATATAAATCCTTTTTTATATATGTTGTGGTTTCTGGGATCATTTGGGAAAGTCATATGAAATCAGAAATAAGAACAACCAATGCCTGGGTTTTAAAAGCTAAAGCTAGGTTTCATATTATTTTTCATATGTATCAATTGTCACACACACACACACACACATATACACAAAGCTTCAAATCCTTTCACCTGACATCCTTTGTAGTTAATACATGGTTACCGACTAAATTCACCCAATTTAATAAGGTCATACCGATAGGGGATTTCCTGTCTCAACTATTACTGGTAAAATTATCTTGACTAATAGAAATAAAGAGATAATTATGATTGAATTCTTGTTCCAGTTTTTTTGTTGTTGTTGTCACTAGGGTATATATCCCAACAAAGGCAACTTTAAGGGTTTAAGGGAGAGGTAGTTTCCTTGGCTCACGGATTCCAGGTCACAAACCATCACTGCAGGGAGGCCACAGGGGAGGAACTTGAAGTAGGTGGTCACTTCCACAACCAAGAGCCGAGAGTAACGAATGTATGTCTGAGACTATTTCCACTCTCATACAATTCAGGACCTAAACCCAAAGAGCTGTGTTGCTCACTTTCAGGCTGAGTCTCTCCAGTAAGTATAGTTAAGACAGCCCTTCACAGACATGCCCATGGGCTAACCTGATCCAGACAGTCCTCCACAGACATGCCATAGGCTAACCTGATCTAGACAGTTCTCCACAGGCATGCTATGGGCTAACCTGATCTAGACAGTCCTCCACAGACATGTCCATGGGCTAACCTGATCTAGACAGTCCTCCACAGACATGTCCATGGGCTATCCTGATATAGACAGTCCTCCATAGATATGCCCATGGACTAACCTGATCTAGACAGTCCTCCACAGGCATGCCATGGGCTAACCTGATCTAGACAGTCCTCCACAGACATGCCATAGGCTAACCTGATCTAGACAGTCCTCCAAAGACATGTCCATGGGCTATCCTGATCTAGACAGTCCTCCACAGACATATCCATGGGCTAACCTGATGCAGACAGTCCTCCATACACATGCCATAGGCTAATCTGATCTAGACAGTCCTCCACAGACATGTCCATGGGCTATCCTGATATAGACAGTCCTCCACAGACATGTCCATGGGCTAACCTGATTTAGACAATCCCTCATGGAGAATCCCTTCCTGGGTGACTCTATACTATGTCAACTTGATGGTTAAAATTAAGCATCACCATCCCTAACTGCAAATAATTTACCTTCCATGATAAAATATATAAATTGGTTTGATTTTTTTGGTTTGTTTTTTTTAGTGTGGTAAGTTTATTGGGGGAAGGGAAGGTAGTAAGGGAAGTAAAGAGAAAAGAGAGGAAGAGAGAAAAGAGAGAGGGGGAAATACATAAATAAATTGTTGTTGGTTTTTTTACTCTTTACTCTTTGGGGGCCTGTTACCCAGCTCCCAAATAAATATTATGGAGACTTATGGTTACTTATGAATGCAAATGCCCAGCCTTAGCTTGGCGTGTTGTTAGCTAGCTTTTCTTAAATTAACCTGACTACCTTTTGCCTCTGGGGTTTTGCCTTTCTCTGTTTCTGTCTATCTTTCCCTTCCTTTGTTGTCTGTGTCTGGCCGTGCAGCTGGGTGGCTGGCCCTTTCTTTTCTCACGCCTTCCTTGTCCAATCCCTTGATCTTCTCCTCCCAGATTTCCCCCTTCTATTTATCCTCTCTGTCTGGCAACCCACCTATCCCATCTCCTGCCTCGCTATTGGCCGTTCAGCTCTTTATTAGACCAACCAGGTGTCTTAGACGGGCAAAGAAACACAGCTTCACAGAGTGAAACAAATGTATCGATAAATATGTTTTTTAAAGAAAAAACAATATGTATCATACTGGTGTGAGCTTTTAGAGTATAGTTCTGAACTGAGGCCTTCTGGGGTAGATAAATCTTCACTTTCGGGTCTGTAACATGTAGTCTTCCTATCCTCCGCCTGGGTCCTATTGTCGCTTTCAGCCCCCAAATAACACACAAGACACTATATTAATTATGAAGCTGTTGGCTGTTTGCTTGGTGTCTTATCGGCTAGCTCTGACTTGATTATTAACCCATAATTACTAATATATATTTTATAAGGACTTATCTTTTGGGGGCGCACTCCTGAGCACCCATTACTCCTGGGAGAATACACGGCAACCAGTCTCTTCACTACATTTCCCAGAATCCTCCTAGACTCCTAGTCCCACCTATCCTGTTTCCCTATTGGCCAACAGGGCCTTATTCAAACCTATCAGACACATATTTACAGAAGGACGGCTCCCAACACAGGTCTACTCTCTGCCTGCCAGACTGCAATCCCTTTACTTCCTAGGTGTCTCTCAAGCCCACGACCACATTTACAACAACCAAATCTGTCTTTGGACGTTACTAACCGTCACCCCGGCTTGAAAACACTCCTAGCCCTGTCTGGGGACAAGTAGCAGAAGTGACATTTGGGTTGCTCTAACAGAAGACAGGACTGGCATAGACCGGATATAGGATACGGAGGAGGGCATTCAGGAAGCTAACTAAACCAACACAGCGAGTGTGCACTCAGAACAGAAAAGGTGGACCCAGAGACGGCCCCACAGTTAAGAGCACTGGTTGCTCTTGAGGACAACCCCTGTTCAAGTCCCAGCACCCACGTGGTGGCTCTCAACCACCGGTGGCTCCAGTTCCAGCTGGATCACATGCCCTTTTGATAAGGGCACCAGGCAGGCATGTAGGGCACAGATATACCTGCAACCAAGACATTTGACATTTACAAACATAAAATAAATAAAAATTAAAAATTTTAATTTTTTTTTAAAGAATAGCAAAGTAAAGTCAGTTTCTCTTTATCCCTGTACTGCAGCTTCTAACTAAAAAATTAAGGAGGAAAGTAAATGAAAGTCCTAACTGTGGGGGGGGTGATAAAATAGAAACTCCAATCTATCCAGATGATTTAACTGTATCTTAAAATCTAAGATATACTGAAAACCGAAAGTTAATCTTCCTGCCATCGAATTCAGCTTTGCTATGCACCGTCTGGGCAGGGTAGTATTATTCTGAGAAACACAAGTAATCTCATATTATTACTGTCCATGTCCCCCAACTGACACCCACGTTCAGGGAGCCTGGCTCTGTCTTATGCTGGTTCCCCAGCTGTCAGACTGGGGTCGGTGAGCTCCCACTTGCTCAGGTCAGCTGTCTCTGTGGGTCTCCCCAGCAGCCTGGTCTTGACCCCTTTGCTCATCACTCCTCCCTCTCTGCAACTG